GTAAGGTTAGTACTAACAGGTCTATTGGATCCAATTCCATATTCCTGGGAGAGAAGTCTGACCAATGAAGCTTATTCAGGAGCGTCTGTCTTTGTTCTTCCGCAGGTGCTCAGATCATTGTCTGCTGCGCTTAGTCGTCACTGTGCGTCTTGGACTTAATCGAAGACAAAGAAATACATAGCTCTACTTTGTTAACCCAATCATTTAGTCGTATATCAGATCTTGGCACTTAGAATTGCCTGAAGGGTATCTGGCTGTGGGTACTTCAATCCGCACTGAAATCCTGCAGGAATCAATCGTCTCCCTTGATAGCCGCTCGGCTAGAATCGGCATCCCATGCCAGGCTTCGAGAAAGAAGAAGGCGGTAAGTGCCATAGATCTCTCCGCATCCTACAAACCGCCAAATATTGCCCATTTCTGCAGTCGCGCGATACCGGAAGTAGGCTAGCGCGTTTTAGTCCTATTGCTCCTGCAAGTCATCGACAAGGGAAAGCGATGAAGCAATTTACGTTGCTGTCATGAAGAAAGCGGTTAGGTAGGGATGTTGATAAAGATCGTTGTTCTCAGAAGCATTCTGTAACCACAGTGAGAGACCCATCGAGAGGACATTACGGCTACATCATCGCAAAAATAGATTCTACTCTATGCTGCGGATATCGATGGCGAAGTCCCAGAGAATGGCTCCGCTCGGCAAGAAAACTTTTGCTTTCGCCCCTCCCGATTTTCTCAATCGGAGAAAACATGGAGTAGATAGTTCATTTATTTATATTGTAACAATTATCTGGACTTAGTCTAGGCGGGTTGTCCTCCTCTGTAAACCGGCATCGTTTGTTTGTATCCCTCAGGCTCCGTTATCGCAGGCGGATTCAGCTTGGTCCCTGCGGTTGTTATAGTTCGGCACCGTCGCCGGATCTGATAGTGACTCACAAGTCCCAATTGACCCGGAACCCCTTGTTTAGCTGTCGCTCGACTTTTGCACCATTTGTCATAACCGGGTTCTGCGATATTCCAATTTTCGAACCGTATCAGCAAGCATCACACCAAGCCAATCATGGGTTCCATTGCGCAGACAGTCCGAGAGCTTGATGCCTCGACCGTCAAGGTAACTCGGTCCACCAACCTGCGTCTGGTTCCTGAACCCGGTTCCCCGGAGGAACTCAGTCACTCGCACTGTACAGACCACATGGTCACCGTCAGATGGACCGTGAACAATGGATGGGAGACCCCCGAAATCAAACCATACGAGAATCTCAGCATTCCCCCGACTGCCGGCTGCCTGCACTATGCTACAGAATGCTTCGAGGGCATGAAGGTGTACCGAGGATACGACGGCAAATTGCGTCTGTTCCGGCCAGACTGCAACGGCGAGAGACTTGTCATGAGTGCCCAGAGAACTTCTTTGCCCAGTTTCCGGTTTGAGGAGCTCAAGGTGCTTATCGCCAAGTTGATGCAGATCGATGGACCCCGTATGCGCCCCTGGTTCAAAAGAATTCTTGACATTGGACTAACAAGGCTTTTTCCCCCCCAATAGGCTGGCTCCCCAAGGATCAACCCGGTCGATTCCTTTACCTTCGTCCCACTTTGATCGGCAGCGGCCCTCATCTGGGCGTGCAGACACCCAAAGAAGCCCTTCTCTTCATTATTGCCGTGCCATGGCCTGACCCGTCCAAGAAGCCCGTCGAGCCTGGCACAAAGCCCGGACTGAAGCTTCTCGCCTCCCATCCTGAAACAATCCGTGCCTGGCCTGGTGGCTTCGGTTACGCGAAACTCGGAGCTAACTATGGCCCTTCCCTGTCAGCTCACGGTCAAGCTCAAGCCTTGGGCTTTGACCAAGTCCTCTGGCTCTTTGGGGAGGACCGTCAAGTGACCGAGGCCGGCGCGAGCAATTTCTTCATTGTCTGGGAGAACAAGGATACTGGCAAACTTGAGCTCGTCACTGCGCCCCTTGAGAACCAGCTTATCCTCGCCGGTGTCACCCGTCGCAGCGTGCTGGAGCTGGCGCGGTCGAGATTGGCCAAGCCTGTCGGAAGTCTTGCACCTGTTGATGTTGTGGAAAAGGCGCTTACCATCGGAGATGTTGAGCAGGCCTGGAAGGAGGGACGCATTATTGAGGCATTCGTCTCCGGCACTGCTGTAAGTCACTCTTCGCCCGACAACTCTCACGCATCCTTTGGCTAATGCAAAATAGTACTTTATCACTCCTGTGAAGCTCGTCAGGAATGGCGATCTCGATATGGACATGGTTGATGCGGGCGTTGAGCGTGCAGGATACGCTGCCCAGATCAGGTCTTGGTTGGACGCCATCATGTATGGCAAGGAGAACCATGAATGGTCTTATGTGATTGAGGGAGAGGTCGACAACTAAGGTGGATGCATCCTTTCTTTTGCCACTAGACATAGACTCAAACGTGACAGTTCGTTGCATGCGGGATGATGGTTAGAACGGAGTTTTTACGCTGAGCATGCCAATTTATATAGTTACGTACCGAGCTTTAGCTCTTGGAATTGTAAGTACGCATTCAAATCTTTTTGTCGGCATGGGGGTTTATCCTGACGACCTTTGAAATGCCTGATTTTGAATCGCCTGGAACAAGGTGTCGGCAATCGTAGCTTGCCACAGGGTAACTGATCAATTTCTGAAGAAGCTGGAGATCTGTTCCCTCGTTACATATCTGGTGTGTGGTGGTATAAACGTCTTTCCAATTATCATGAGTCGCTTGCTTGAGATGCACAGGTGAATGGCACACAGACTCGATAAGGAACCGCGATGGCGCGTAAAGAGTCGACTGAATTACATACTAGAGTGTCATTAAGCAAACGATACTCGTCTATGGCGTATCCACATTGTCCATGTCCAGATCCTGCGTCGTGCTCCCTTCGCCGAGATCGACAACGAGGGGAGCATACTCCCCTGTCTCGTCGTTTCCATCGTCTTCCATTTCTAGCTCAACTTCCTCGCCATCCTCCAGCTGAACCATGCCCCGGCGGACAAATGCTTCGCGATCCAATTCCCAGTCGTATTCGTCTTTGACCCATGTAGCCAGCTTGTCGAATTCGGCCATGAGCGTAGGACCAGGGTTGTCGACGACTTCATATAGATTTCTTCTGAACTTCATCAGGAGTTTGCGCAGGAATTCCCCGCCATCGGCTCCGTCAATATCGAACAGTCCACCTTCGACATCATCGCATCGTTTTAGCTGTAGCAGAAGCAATCGGAGTACTCTCACCATGAAAGGCTCACGATCCTTGATTGCATTCTGGCAGGTCAGGACTAGTTCCAGCAATCTTCTCCATTGCTGCAGACATGAGTAGTTCATCAATGTCATAACCATCAAGAAAGTGAATTGAAGTTCACCCAGGATCTCTGTCTCTCCTCTGTTTTCCCCACGGTCTCCACCACTGGAGTGTCGTTGAATCAGGTCCCCCAATGCCCATGAACGATCTTGAGCCGCCTCGGTCCTCTCCCGTCCAATAGCTCCTTCTCTCCATGTGCGCTTCAGGTCAACGGGAAGAAACGAGAATGCAGTTTCCTGCTCCCCCGTAACCTTAGCTAGATCCTCTGAGTTGGGATCAGGAAGCCCTGGAATCTTATCACTATCCCTTTCTGCAGTGCTACCGGATGTAACCATCCACCGAGGCCGGCCATCAACGTCCAGTTCAGGGTCGCCAACAATCCGCGACAGAAGCCTTGGGGAAATATTGTTCGTCAAGTCTGCCCAATCCTTTCTGCCCTCTTGCTCGTCACCTTCATCAATGTCCTCCTGAACAGGAGCCTGCTGCTCCTTTTGTGACTGCGGCTGTGACTGCGATGTACGCGATGACGAGACACGACTGCGGTACCGGAACAGCCCACCACGCTGCCAGACAGCGCCTAAATTCGCTTTATGGCGCATCGCCTCCTGCCTGTCTGCATCGCTGCTTGCTCGCAGGGGCTCCAGTGTTTCTGTCTCCGAATTCCATTTCCACACGAAAATATCCGACCCCAAACTTCTGGATGACGCCGGTACTATGGCACCATTGTGACTCTCATCAAAAACGCTGATATCGCCAACGTAGAACCAACCCCCGGATCTCAGAGAAAGGCTTTCTGTCGTTCCAGTGTATAAAAAGTGCCAACCATTCGGTAGGTCTCGTATGCCATGAAAATTGGGTGTCGATGTGAAGGTGACGAGGTCAATGCCGACGAGAGTCTTTGGCGGAAGGTGGGGGACGAGGATGGTGGGGGAGGGGGAGAGAGGAAGAGGCATGGCTGTGGACGTGGATGCAGTGCTATTCTTCTTAAGTCTAATTTTGGCCAGCACTTGGAGAGGCAGCAAATGCGACTGCTCTGTTCAAGCCTTTCAAGGATCTGCCGTTGTGAAAGTGATTCGGGATCCAGAACTGAGCCTTGACGTCAGTTCATGGCATCAGCCGTCCTTCAGTAGACTTGTCCGCGACGACGTCAAAAGAGGCGCGCGATGGCAGAGTTAGTAGGACCCGAGGACTATAATACTTTAAGGGACAATGAGTGTGCTTGATGTGATGGTAAAGATTGAGTGGCTAAAGCTCTTATCGAACTTGAACTTCCGCGCGCACTAGCTGTCACTTTGACAAGTGCCGCTTCACCGTTCAGCCTTCAGATCGGCAGTAAACTGACTTGCAAATCCATCTTTAATTACCTCTTTACTTTAAATCGACATCTGCATGGTACCGTAGACTACTAGGACTTATATGGCAATCTACATCAACCTTCTACAATAATCTCGCTACCTCACGAAGTCCGAGTATGCTCCAATTCTGGTTATATTGGCAGAGATAGCTGCTATACTGGCTAACAGACTATGAGACCCCGAACCGAAGACAAAATCTTTTGGACATGAGAAAAATTGAAGACCAGGCTATAAGGGCCGTTCTTCGCGTTTATTCCATCCACATCCGCGGGCACAAGGCCCTGGCGGTAGCCTCCAGCCCAGACATGCAAAGAAATTGCACAGCCTGGACAAAGACACACCCGCACACGTCTACAGACGACGACCACGGCGACCACCCTTGCGACGAGTAGAGTCGGAAGGAGTGGGGGTCACGTCCTCGATTCTGCCAATTCTCATGCCAGAACGAGCAAGGGCACGGAGAGCGGACTGGGCACCGGGACCGGGGGTCTTGGTACCGTTACCTGTGATATAATTAGCTCTTTGTTCCAACCCACACCGTCACCGAATGTTTCGCTACATACCACCAGTGGCACGGATCTTGATGTGGAGAGCGTTGATGCCGAGCTCCTTGCAGCGGGCAGCGACGTCCTGAGCAGCCAACATGGCAGCGTAGGGAGAAGACTCGTCACGGTCAGCCTTGACCTTCATACCACCGGTGACACGGCAGATGGTTTCGCGACCACTATTATTTGAAGAGTCATATTAGTTCCTTGTCTGAGAGGAGACCCCATTGCGCATCCCTCTTCGAGAGTATCAATCGCACGAGGCCAAACGTTGCGAAGGTCGAAAACGAACCTCAGATCGGTAACGTGGACGAAGGTATCGTTGAAAGAGGCGAAGATACGGGCAACGCCGAAAACGAGCTTGCCTGTACACGACTGTTAGAGTCAAGTATGCGCAAAATTCGCATTACCTCAAACTTACCATCTCCGGCCAGAGGACCGAGAGAGACGTTCTCCTTGGCGGCAGTGGTGGTCTTCTTGGGAGGCATTTTTGGGTGTGCTGGTCGTGGGATGGAATATGGAGCAAAGAGAAGAAGAGAAAATCAAGATCCGCTGATGGAGTTGGATATACAAAAAGTGGAGATTGTGTGTGCCCTACGAATGCTGCACCGCGCTGATTGGCCAGAAGTTAATTCGCGGCGGTCAAGCGAGTTACAGCCTGAGGCAGAAGGGCAGAAAGAATGGGTACAATATCCTGGTTGAAGCGGCAGCAGTCGGGCCGGTGGGCGGTCAGCCAGGAGCTTTTAAGCTAAGAGTCAAATTTTCCACCGCACTGTCGGATTCTCATCTTCTGGACAATCAGATATCAACAGTGCGGATCTTTCTTGGATCACACTTTTCTTTGAATAATCAGCATAGCCTGATTTCTAGAGATATCCGTGTTCTCTTCCGTCTACTGTCTTGGCTGCAACTTCGCTCATTAGTTAGCCTGGTGCAGCTAAATAAGAATCAATATGGTCCTCACCAAGGAAAATGCCATGATTGGCATCATTGGCTTGGGAGACATGGGCAAGATGTATGCCCAGCGGCTCAGTCTCGCAGGGTGGAGGTAAATCATCACTTTTCCATATTGACCACCATCATTTGCTTGTAATAGGTAAGACATCCTCTCTTTTCTCTCTTCTTTCTTTTCCTTTTACATGATGACTTGAGTGCATTTGGCTCGAGCATGACCTGACGGTTGCACCGCTACGCCATTCTGGTATGTGGTTGGCTGTCAGGTTGTCAATGATGTAAAATCTCAGCTACCTTTATTTCTTTTGTCTGAAATCTTCATGAAGGATTCCTTGCTTCTCAAAGCTCTGTTCTTGCCTTCCTCAAACTAAGTGCTAACTCTCAAGTTTCTCAGGTTCAATCGTACTCGTACTAAGTCTGTCCAAGCGGCTGCAATTCACTAACCACTATCTGTTTATAAAGGGTAAATGCATGTGATCTGCCTCAGAACTATGAACGTCTAAAGGAGGAGTTTGCTTCTCAAGTACGTCGTTTGCTCACAGCTAATGCTGTCCATACTCATCGTATATATAGCAAGGTGTCACTATACTCCCGAATGGACACCTGGTTTCAAGAATTAGCGATTATATTATTTACAGTGTAGAGGCTGCTGTCATCGACAGGGTAGTTGCACAGTATGGGCCATGTATGTCCTTGTTCGAGCAAAGGATACCACCACTCCTAGTATCGATTTTTCTGACTTGTGGAAAGCAACCAAGGTCGGTGCGATCGTCGGCGGCCAGACATCCTGCAAGGCGCCTGAATTAGCTGCATTTGAGAAGCATCTTCCTCCAGATGTAGAAATCCTATCTTGCCATTCGCTCCATGGACCCCAGGTCAACCCGAAAGGACAACCTCTGGTATGACGCATGTCTTACTACGAGTCTTTCCTGCATAATAACACGGTTTGCTTCAGGTCTTGATTCAGCATCGTGCCTCGGACGAAAGTTTGCGTTTCGTCGAAGAAGTGTTGTCATCGTTCGGTTCCAAATATGTTTACCTCACAGGCGAGATGCATGACCGGATCACTGCAGATACCCAAGCGGTTACACATGCAGCCTTTCTAAGCATGGGAACGGCTTGGCAAGCAAACAATCAGTTCCCCTGGGAAATGTCGCGCTGGGTTGGCGGAATTGAAAACGTCAAGATCAACATAACATTGCGCATCTACTCTAACAAATGGCATGTCTATGCTGGCCTCGCCATCCTCAACCCTGCTGCAAAAGAACAGATCCGCACCTATGCCCAATCCGTAACGGAACTGTATAAACTGATGATCGGTGGACAGCGAGAGGAGCTGAAACGTCGAGTTAAGGCGGCCGGCGCAGCTGTCTTCAAGGACGGTACTGAGGGTCAGGAATTGCTCCTCAAAGATGAAGTTCTGGATCGCTTCTCCCTCTCGAACCGGCCTCGGGAGTATCACCCGCCGAACAACCACCTGAGTCTTCTTGCAATTGTCGACTGTTGGTCGAAATTAGGCATCGTCCCTTATGATCATATGATCTGCTCAACACCTGTGAGTGGCGCTAATACCGCAGCTGCATTGCTTACATCGTTCCATGTTGAGTTGCTAATTGCTCTGTGAAGCTCTTCCGGTTGTGGTTAGGGGTCACTGAGTATCTATTCCGCAACCCTAAGCTCCTCGATGAGGCATTGGATACCGCAATTGACGACAAAACCTTTCGCTCAGACGATCTAGAGTTCACATTCGCTGCTAGGGTAAGTACTCAATCTCGCTGATGCTCTAACGGCAGTGATGTCGTGGGTCAGGAAGCTTTTCATGCTGTCTTCAAAAGCCCAGGATAGCTGACATATTGCGTACAATCAATAGGCCTGGTCTGATTGCGTTTCATTTGGCGATTTCGAATCCTACCGTGATCGCTTTGAGCGAATTCAGCAGTACTTTGCGCCTCGTTTCCCTGACGCAGTTAAGCTTGGAAACGAGATGATGAAGACGATCTTGGAGAAGACAGCAACGGGAACTCGATAAGCGCTTTTGGAAGTTGATGGGAAACCATGATGATGTGATGGACCCCGAACGACAGAAAGAGGGCATAGATGATAATACATAAACTTTTCGATCTCTTGCGGGAATGTCCGTGATTTAGAACATGTACGCCTCTGTATAGTCACTGCTTGCCGGAGTCTTCCTTTGGGAAGTTATCCGTGAAGCAATCTTATTACTAGCTTTCAGTACGGTCGAACCCTCGGCACCACCAGTTTGGTTCGTTTCATGCTTATCCCACGGCCTTATGCGCAAGACATATCAGTTCCACCCATCGTGTTTCAAGCGAAGTCTGGGCTAAGATAAGTGCGATGACAACACTTAGATGGCAAGGGCTCTCTCACGGCGGTCATCTGTGCAAGGGCAGCCATGGCATTTCGCATTTCTTGTCTTGTGGTATGGAAGGCATTTTGTTAAGCGTAACAAGAGTGGTTCGCAGGAGAAGGGGCAGGGTATGTAAGAAAAGAAGTTGGATAGCTGGTAGTCAGAGCTACGGTGGGAGGTATCTTACATGCCCGTCTACTGCTTATTGTCGGTGGGAAGTTGAATATCATACCACTACTGCTTTCAGTTGTACTAGCTCCTCGTGGCCTCTCGATAACCCTCTCTCGAAGTGTTGGATCTGCTTCAGACCACCTAGTCTTCTCAATCTAAAGCTGGCAGAGAGCGCCTGGCCCCCTTGTCTTGTCTTGTATATATTCCCAGCTAGAGGTGCACCAACGTTTGCAGAGCACTGATCCCAAAACAGCCTTTTTGGATCGCATATGCAGGGTCTACTTGGACAACTCGAATTTAAGCCAAACAAGGTGCATAAATTTATGCATTAATTCTCAAAAGGCACCGAGAAAAACGAGATCTATTACTTGTCGTACAAGCAAAAAACCAATTAAGAATAGCGGCCTTAGGCGATAAGGTTGTCACCCAGGTTAGTCAGCCAGTGGTAGCCAAGACTTGAGATCCAGCTGGAAACCATCAACAGGGGAGAGTATAGTCCCTTCTTGGAGTATTCTTCGAACCTTTGAAGCGACACTATGATGCCGGCATTCTGATACCTACATCGAACCTCTACCGATCTGAATAGCTTGCGGTGCGGTCTTGTTTCACTCCCGGACAGCTGGCCCCCGTGACCGCGGCGCACGCATCCCCTCCCTTCGAACTCCTCATTCTCCAAACAGCGCCTCATTCTGTTCTGAAGTTAATCACTGGCCTTTGTTTACAAGACACCCGGGTCAGCACCATCCATACAGTCTCTTGATACACCTCCTTCGAGCTCAATGCGGTCCTTCATCCTTTGTCTCTTGCGCTATAGGTGATACGCACTCTCCCACTTGCGACTAGATGGAGACCTATGGCGTCCGGATATAATTCAGGTTTCTCCGGAACGTCGATCCAGCACCGTGACCTGGGTGATGGACGGTCGTATGCCAGCCAGGAAGATGCCTCCGCAAATGGCAGCTGGGCCGAGACCGCGTCAAGACCTGGGAGGAATGGTCGCTCACAGTCTGGAAACAGTGCAAGTATCCGCCCTCGGGGAGGTTCTGGAGGCTCTCTAGCGCCTTCCCTTGGGGGTCCTGGTAGCTTCAGCTCGGAGCTTAAGAGCATGACTACGTCGCGGAGTGTGACACCCCGACCCGATGGTACCTACAGGCGACGAGGAAGCAGCAATGTTGAGTTGGAAGAATTGTCGAGTACCGAGGAGCGCCAGGCTGCGATTCGCGACAAGATCGCCAAAGAGATGAAGATCAAAACCGGAACCGAGAACATGCTTGAGGCACTTCTGGCCAAGGACCCGAAACATACCAAGGATCAGCGTCTGAGGGTGGAATCCGAACTGAGCTCGTCCAATCGCAAGCTTGCGGAACTACACCATGAGCTCGAGGAGGAATTACTACGTGCGCAGGCGCCGTCAACTCCTCCGCGGAATCGCTTTTCAATGTCTCTTTTTCGGGGTAGTCCGAGGCGGTCGCCCTCCCGGAACAACGACCTCACACTTGACGATGATCGATTGGAAGAAGCCGAGGCGGAGATGGAGTCCCCTACTTATGTCCTCGCGGAAACATTACAGGCGCTTGAGATTGAAGGGATGGCGCCAGATTACTATGTCGAACGAGCTAACAGTCTGGTCGAACTCTTTAGACGTCACCCAACCCTAAAATACGACCTTGCATGGTCCGTCTTCGGCTTGCGCGTTCAAGTCATGCTCTTAAGTGACAGCAAAGAAGTCGTAGCGGCTGGCTACCGCTTGACTCGATACGCCATAGCTGATAGAAAGTCACTTCAAATCATCCGGTCCCTGCACACAGACGAGCTGGTGATACTATCTCTAGTCAAGGAGAGCAAAGCTAGCATTGAGCGCGAACAGGCATTAAAGTTTGTCCGAGCTTTTCTGGATGTGAAAGACGGCGTTCACGAAATCTCACGAGCTGTTGTGCGAACGATCGTCTCCATTGCTGAACATCATGAGGACCGTCTTCGAAACATATCTATTAT